ATCCTTCCCACTTTTCTTCCGTCCTCTGCGACGCGGTGTAGCCGCTGAGTCAGGACAAATGGGGGTCGATGCATCTGGCATCTGGTCCATAAGTTGTAACGCGTAGGCGCTTTGCTAGCGTCGGGCGGGAAGCTTGATTCATCACAGTTTTACGGAAACTTAAACATGTCGCTCGTGGTTTGCGTCATCCTCAAGCTAAGATCACCCCACAGACGCATCGAGTTTGAAGAAAATTGTGAAAAATTGGTCTTTCGGATGCAGAACCTCCATTCACTCTGTTTGCGATGGCCAGGAATAACAACCACTGGCTGGGAATTCCGTTCTCCTCTGAACATCACAGCTAACATTGATGGAATTTAAAACTTTGATTCTTTGAACAATGGGTTACGCTATGCGAGAAACGTAGATCGAAATGCCCTGCTTCGGTTTTACAAGAGAATTGGGCACACTTTCAGTAGGTGTCTGAGCAGTTTTAGCGTGCACGTGGTGTCCTTTTCAATCTCTTCGATTATTGTGCACTGCAGTTTGTCCTGATGCACTATTCACTCCCTTGATAAGACAAGTAATCCGGCGAACGCAGAAGTGCTCGGGTGAAGTAATGATTCATGAGCAATGCATTCAGTTGGATACAAACTTCGTCCAGATCCAGACTAAAATGAGCGTACTCCGGAAGTGGTTATCAAGTAAGCTGTCAACGATTTCCTCAACATAATTATTAACATTATTCAAATATATTGACCGGAATTGATTCCATTCGTCCTTGAAATGGTGTTACATTCGCGATTCTCTCTCAAAATGCGAAGCGTTCTGACTACCGTTTCCGAAGAACTGGCATTGACACTAATTTGTTTCAAACAAATCGGCCGGCATCGACAGCGAAACTAGATGTGAACTTGAAAGTACTCGGCCGATGTGAAATTAGCATAAGAATCGAAGACACTTACAGATACTCGTAAAGGACAACTATCATTTATGCCTCAGCGCAGCCCAGTCTGTATGATATAGAGGGAAAGGCACAAACTACACACCATTTCAATGTAATCTACAGCGGTTTACCATCATGAGAACCTGCATGATAAATCGAAAGACAATGATTTCCCTTGTTCTACATGTGTAACTGGACACAGTGATTTGCTAACGTGTGATGCGATACATTTTACAATGAATATTTCTGTATCCATTCAATACTATCACTGTACGCTAGTTCAACAACACCGTAAACCATAACTAATTCGGTTTAGCCCACGCCAGTCGAAAAACAAACTTAACTGAGCGCTGAAGACGCAGTTCAAACAATCTCCCAGTCACTAACCACCACAACCATTTGACAAGGACAAACAGGTCAGCATCCCGGATTCCACGAAATATATATTTATATCACAACATACAAATGGGTGCACACAGTATCACGTGGCCGAAAGTGGTTATAAGTTGCATTCCTAGGTATGAAAACAGGAGGGAATCAACACGGGTAAGACGATCCACTCAGCCCGATGCACCATATCCGACCCATGCCAAAACGACCCCATGACCTACGCCATTCCTTCAATCTCTTTCCAACGGTCAGAGGAGATTTTGCCTGAGAATTCTCGCAGCATGCACTGGCGCAATCGTTCCATTTGACTTCGATCCCGCCGACCAGATTGTGTGCCGACTAGTTCAATGCATCGTTCCAACGCGCTGTCCACACGTAACGCGTTCAGATATTCCGCTTGTGGATCAAGCTGTTTGGGATTTCGCGGAGGAGGGAGGTTAGCAACAGAACAGGGAGGTGCATTGAGAGAACAGATTGACGACAAACAAATACAACAATTTCGTCAAGGTATTGTCAACGAAATCAAACCAATGAAAAAGTGACGAAACAAAGCGGCTGATCACGTGGAAGAACGCTGGAAAGCACAATCAGGTTGAGTTAAAACCATGATGACCACTGAGGCGTTTGAACACATGAAACACCAGATGAACGGAAAATTATGCGCAATCAGCTGAAACTCTTTTCGAATTGCAATGGTGTATGCAACAGTTTGACATGCAAAATACGTCTAGTCTGAGCGGTTATTTAAGTGACGGTACTCCTCACAAGTATTGTGGAGGGTGAGGAATGCTTTGTATATGATCGTTCGACCTTCAAAAGACTAAGGTATATATCCTTTTGAAGAAGATTCCTGGTTCTCTTAACTAAGCGGCTTCTATATAACCGGACGAGGAGCTTCAGTCGTCAAATTATTCTGGGAATTAGTCCACAAGAGCAACATTCGTTACGGAGGCAGCTCGATTTGAACAGCCGAGGACGGATACACGTGACATTCCAAATCAGTCGTATCAAAATCCTTGTAGTCAATTTGAGAGTGCAATTGAATGATCGAAGTCAAAACAGCTTTTTCACTTACCAGACCGAACGGAGTCGATTGTGTGTGGGCGAACAAGCCGAAAAGAATGACCGAGAGGGAGAGAACGAATGTGGTCTGCTGCATAGTTCAGTTGCTCTGAGTCTGAGTAGACGAGACCCACGTTTGGTCTGGCCTGTTTGAGCTCACTTATATACGATATGCTCAATGTGGGCAATCGGTTGTGATTCGTGGAACTAATGCGTTGCTTTTTCTTCAAGCCTGATGTCTGTGTGTGTTTATGTGTGCCTCTGATTATGCAATCAAACGTGCACAGTTTTCCACTGAACACGTCTCAGGTGAGGTAGTGTCGATTGGTCAACGAGTGTTTTTTAGCATGAAAACCAAAGTTGTGAAAACGAACTGTCAAGGCGCGTTGCTTTCGACACCATAATTTCTGCTCTGATATATTGCATGACACCCACGCAATGAGCGTGGACAGAGGTTTGGCATCAGACGGTCAACTCACAGGGATTCTCTTTAAACCGATAAAGATGGCATTCGAATTAAATTCTGTCACCCGAATGACGACAATCAGAGATAATTTCCTGTTTGAATTGCATTATTTGTTCCAGCAAAAGCAGCAGCAGCAGTAGTAGTTTCAGGAAGTGTGACGTCAGATTGGGATTGCAAATAACAGTTTGTTCTGCTACGCTCGACATTCACCACACGCGCAGTAGGGCAACCTTTATTCAGCCAAATTAAAGAACCGTGAGCAACACGTGTTCCATCTCCGTGTAAACATACTCAGATTATGATCCTCACCCGATGCTCGATCGGGTCGCTATTCCTCGAAGTGATTACCTTCGGTTTGGATATATACACATAATCCGAAGAAATTGGCATTTAGGCAGCACGAAATTGTGTTCGTCAAATAGGTAGTCAGGAGCAAGGATGATTGATGTGAACTGCAAATGACTCCAGTAATACCCGACACGATGTATGCTTATTGCTTAGATGGTACTATTGATTATTCGTGCAGGCTTCTACCCTTATTGATCGAGTTTGGGTGTTCGGTACGACGACTGCTAGACAAAAGATAAGCCGATGTTCCAGCCCTTCGACCAACTTATTGTGAAGGTACTTGTGCTTGGACATTGTCAACAACTTTTTGATTTTTGCCGACGCACTGATAACGTGTGATCAGCTCCATGCACAAGTTGTGAGCAAACAACTCTACAGCTCTTATGTTCACGGCTAGTAACAGATATGAATTTATATGGATAAAGGGAAGTGGTTACCATAGTTACCAGTTTGGATCATAATTGGTCCCCAATAATCATAACTCTGATGTTTCATCACGGGCCATTTTTCGCAATCCGGCCATGGGAGCTTGAGTGCTTGCATAAATTGCTTGAGCACACAGAGGGTGGTTGTGAATACGGATAATTGCAGCCAACTCTGGCTAGAATGTGAAACCGAACGTGTGTAGACCGTACGGTTTTAGCTCTAAACACGGGTCGGAACGCTTTGGTCACATTTGCGATGTGTTTAGTGATGATAAGGTGCAACACAACTCCACTTGTGCCCCAACTGATTACTCCACTTCTCAAACACGCTGGGTGATGCTCACGGATGTGCGGATGAGTACACACCTTGAACGCAGTCTCCGTCCTCACTCATTTTACCACGAAGTCTTTAAACAGTTCTGTTAAGTCTGTTCGATGTGTTTTTCTGGACTACTTTTCGGCATTTGATTCCATTCCTAAATTTAAGTTGTTACAAAACTGGAATCGTTTGAATGCCTCAAGCAAGTGTGAGCTTGGCTATGCAACTATTTTATTGATAGAGTACAAAGTACTAGATTGGGGAAGGCGACATCGAAACACTTAGTCAACAGCTCCGTGGTTCTTCAAACAGCGGTGCTATCCCCGTACTTATTTTACATTTACATTTGCCATATTCGCCGCGGTTCTCCCGCACGAATTTTGAAATATGCAAATCACGTCGTGCTGTGCCAGCCCATTTCTTCTTCTTCTATCACCGACAATCTTGATCGAATTCAGTCATTCTCCTCGTCATCGAGACTAACCCTGAACCCCAATAAATATGTTCAGTGTTCCTATTAGTTATGCTCGCTCTCCATTTCCGACAGATCCCACAGTGATTAATAACAATCCTTTATCCTGTGTAAACTCTGTCAAATATTTTGGTGTAACCATAGACAGCAATCTTCATTAGTCAACCCTCATTCATAACTGCATTGGTAAACTGCGGCGCCTATCATTTCGAATACGAAAGCTCAGGCAGTTTCGTGCATCCCAGTCAGTTATTTCTACCTTCGTTTATCAGTGTGTTTTCCCCATCGTACTCTACTGTTCCCAAGTTATTTTTCCTGGTTCCCTCAAACAGGATTTCAAAGTCTTACACCGCGGTCTAACCATTATTAGTCGTCTCTCTTCTATTTCTGTGAATGAATTAACTTTAAAGCTTTCAGAGTATCATGTAACTTCCCATGTGAAATTTGCTGAGACGATTCTCACAGATCCTGATCATTCATTCATTGCACGCAGAACTGACACTTTGTTGTTCCCATCATTTGAAACGCTCCCAATTCGGTCAAACTTCATCTCCACTTACCGCATACCGTAATTCACCCATACCGTATCTTGCTCGTCTACTCATAACCAAAGAGCGGACAATAAGTGAAGTTTTTCTGAACCTTAGATTATGAAATGTCTCCATGACAGTTATACACAATACAATAGAAACAATCCGAACTGACATGAAACATGATGTGGTGGAAATCTGACCGTACTCGTACCAGGTTTCCAGCACTATTCCCATTAGTAAATTCTGGTTCGAGTATGCCCATGGATAGGATTAGTAGTTCCTCATAATGGTCGAAATCAAGGAGAACTCCTTGAGCGAATTGTAAAAATAAACAAACCACTCGATCAAATAACCTAATTTAAAGACGAATAATGGTCAATCTGATCCGAATGAAACGTTTTTGATCTTCCTGGATCAGTTTGTTAATTTTGTTTTTTGTTTTGCAGAGAATTAGGTCGAACCGGAGAAGACTGTTTTCTATCCGACTGGTTTTCAGTGACCCGGTGTGGGTGGATTTGGAGGCGGCAAAGAGAGCCCAGTAGAAGAAGGAATGGACACCAAACATTTCGCACCGATATCGGGGTTCGGCACCGGGCCGACCGCTAATAAGCATTGCGGCACTTTCAACGCTTGGCGTTCGTGCGGACGTCACCCGACAGAAGAAGTTGAGGCAGCACTGGAAAGGCTTGCATTAAGAGTCATGTCACTGAAATCAACATGCCGAAGAAGGCAGAACAGAAAAGTGTGCTTTCAATGCCGCAAGTTACATCACCAGTGGAGGAATTGCTCTGAACCATAAATTTAATCTTCATCCGAAAATCGGTTGATTCAACACGCGTACTTCTTCGGACACAAAAGCAATTATTGGTGATAATCCATAGATTGCGGTACAGTCCAGGGTCATTTTAAGATCGGAGATTGTAAATAACTATGCTCGATTGATACCAGTGCTGCAGTGTTGATGGCGAAAGCCTAATCGAGTGAGGCACTGGAATACAACCGCAAATCAGTTGAAGGCATTTGTCCTAGAACGGGTTGAAGTTGTCAGCCGTGAGCACGAAAACAGTAAACACGAAAAGGGTTACAGTGGTTTCAGCCGGTGGTGAAATGACACTTCCATTGGTTCACAGGCACTGACCAACCAACCATACGAGTTTTATGACTGAGGCAAACACAAAAATCGTAAAGAGTCAGAGATATTCGGAGTTTGTGTTCAGCACCGGATCCCGCTACACTTGAAGGATGAAATCGAGCGGCAGGTACAGCATATTGTGCGGCAGACAATCATCGAATAATCTCTAGGCCCTTATACCTCTCGCGTGCTACTGATCAAAATATCCATCGTAAAATTTCAGTTCTGTACGCATTTCCGTCAAGTGAACGCCGTACATATGAATACCATCCGGCCCCAGTCCCGACCGTGACAGAAGTGTTTGATCAATTAGATCAAGATACAGTCGATGAAAAGGCTAGTCTGGGACCTTATGGGAGAGTTTAACACAAAAGATGATCTTACCAGTATTATGTTTCATTCTGATTACACTGTACGCGCAGTAGGATAAATTTTAGTCAGAGAAATATTTGTAAAAATAACGTGTTCCGTCTCCGTGCAAACACACTTATAGTATGATCGTCACCCGATGCACGATCCGGTCGCTCAAAGTCCTCAAAGTGGTTATTTTCAGTTTGGAATTTAATCGATTGAGATTTCTGATGCATGACTGATTATCATGAAATACGAGATGAATGGTTTTAAAGTCTTGGTCTAACAGGTCGGGAAGCACTACAAGGAGCAGTAGACTTGGATGGAGGAAACGCATTGGTGAACGAAAGAGGACAGGACTGACTGTTCGGTTCCGAATCACCCCAGTTTGCATAACTTAAAACAAAGGCGTCTCAGTTTTCACACACAATTGTAAATGTGTATGGACCACAAGAGATTGCTGTCCATCGTCAGCCCGAGGTACGTCACAGTGGTCATTCTGAACACAGATTTACGACTAAGGATAACAGGCTATAACGAACCAACGATACCAGTTTTAGGACTGAAGCACATCAGAATTATTAACAAGAGGCTTTGGAGACCTCTTTCCGAATTTAGTGCACTGATCACTCTCCTTACTTAGCCATTGATGCCAACAAAATGAAGTTGTGAAATAAGGAATGATTGACAAAACAAGGCAAATCCGGGCGAAATGTTTGATCAATTACAAACTGTAAAAGTGTTCTCAGCAGTGATTTTTGGTATATTAGCGCGTTCAAATAAAGCGTGCACGGTCGGCAACAAACAATTCAATTTTTATACAAATGCCATTCGGACTATCAGAAGAAACATTCACATTCTGTCTCCTCAAGCTGAATTGACTCGAGGCCGTTCGAAGTGTGCTGGTTTATGGCAATGCTGTTTGTTTAGGTAAAACAACAGCCGGATATACGTTCTATCTGATTGACGGTCTGAAGGGAACCAGTAGTCTGGCCTTCGGGTGACTGTTTCCAAGTCATGGATTGAGAAGCACACAATAGGCTTAACGGGG